GTGCAGGGATCAATCTGGGTCTGCAGAAGCTGAAAAGGCTCATCACAGAAGACACAGGAAAGAACCCATAGTGTAGTAGGTTGATGAAAATGATTTTATTCAAGAAAAACAGGAGTGTTCAGGAAAAACTCACAATGGTGCCAGGTTTAATCAAATGACTGACCCTTTAAGATTAAAGATGGCCGCCGGGCCTCCACGTGGCACCGGTGTTGTAGTGTCAATGGCGCCCTGGGCTCCAGCTGACGCGTTTCTTCAGAGGTAGAGCTCTACCACTGGGAATCAGCGAGCACCATTACTGGATTGTGATTTATTTATTTATTGATTTATTTATTTATTCATTTATTAATTTGCTTTGGTTTCATTTATTATTTATATCTGCCCGCAATATAGTAACATCACACAGCGCTGCATTTTCTTCATATATTAATTATAATTAAGTAGGCTTACCTATGAAAGAATATATCTACAACCTAACTTTACTTAGCATTCTTCAGGATGGCTCTTGGAGTTAAAGGCCTGTCTTGATATATTGATTTTGATATTGTGTGACACTTTAAATATATTAAAATATATTAAAAGTGTATATTATTGGTATCATGATATAATATTCAATGCATATCTAAAGTCCTGGGAAAAACATAAGGCTTCAGGCACACTGAGCGTTTTATTTAATGCTGGTAACATTAGCTGTGTAAAGTCATGTTAAAAATGTGAGTTTTTCAGCGTTTTTAGCATTTTTGTATTAGCGTTTAGTGGCGTTTTGCCGCATTTTTTCGTATTTGTGTTTTTTTAGAGGTTTTTTTTTACCCTCCCCCCCACAAAATATTTTTTTTTCAGAAAAAGTCCAAAAACGCTGGTGTGCTGCAATTTAATGCATTTTTCAGCGTTAGAGCGTTTTTACAGATAAAAGCTCCTCTAGAAACCCACTAGTTCTGGGATTTTTTTTGCAGCCAAAAAACGCCCCTGCCAAAAAATGTTGATTACAGTCTATGTGTGCATGGACACATAGGATAACATGCAGGGGAGTTTGCTGGCTGTAGAAAAAAACGTCAAAGCCAAAATCAGCCGCTGTAAAAAACGTCCAGTGTGATGAGGACTAAAGCTGGTTCAAATCGTATTTTAGCTGCTACATATATTATGTGGAGTAGAAGTGTATGTATTTTATATGCAGTACAGCTTTGATGGCCTGATCATCTATACTGCCAAATCCATTTTTAATACATGATTTCATAAAAGTTAATAAAAAAATATTTCCTCACTCTTCACTAACATAATATTCCATTAAATCTCTCTGTTATTACTCTCCCAGTAATAGAAGATACATCTATGAAATTGGTTTAAAGCAGCATGAATGCAGTAAAGTGAAGACTTGGACTTTGGAGCAGGGTTGGGCCTTTATTCTCCTTGGTTAATATTTACAGTTTTTTATGAGGTGATGCCAAGTTCATTAAAAAAGAAAAAGCTTGTGAACTTTCAATAAACTTTCAGAAAGCATTTGTATTCTACTTGGCTCACACTCTGTCATCAAATTATTTTTTTTCCAGCAAATCAATGCAGGATATGATAAAAAAAAAAAAAAAATAATGTGCAAAACCTGCAAAAAATATAACTATATATAAATATATATATATAATATAATCTCAGAAGATGCTGGGGCTGTGATTACAAAATTATGTGGAGGGTTCCAGTCTTGGAATATGGTGAGTAAGTTATCTGTGGCACATATAACCAAAGACGAGGATCAACAAGCCAGTGAATTAAAAGCCAAAGAGCAAGGTGGTTAAACCAATGACTATGATTCAACAATCAATTTACTGTGTCTGACTACAGCAGATTCAGCAAAATATAAGTCTGATTAGTTGTGCCTGACTGGGCACAGTCACTTCTCTTTGCCCTTTTTAAATAAAGCTGAACTCCAGGCAAGCATATAGATGAAATAAGTATAACATTTAGACTTCGATGTTGCAGAGTATACTGTTTTACCTGCAAAAGGAATTGCATTTATATACATTCAGTCCTACGTTTTACACAGCCCTGTCACAAAGCACATTAAGGAGGTGTGTCATTACCATATCTGTTACATATTGGAATATAGTGGCCACATCTCTTCACCCCAAGTGTCAGGAATGGACTCACCACTGGTGGTGCTGTGGCTCACTTGTCTGTGGGCTGCAGTACCAGCTCCTACCAGAGGGTTCTTTCAGCAGCCAGGGTCTCACTCCTGCAATCAAGCCATCACCTGAGGCTGATTGCAGGAGGTCTATTTAAGCAGGACGAGGCCTGCAATCAGTTCCTTGGTGTTTGTGTCCCATGAGCCCCTGTACCTGGTATCCTGTGAATCTTCTGTGTTGCTGACCTCTGCATTGTTCCTGACCCTGCTGACTGTCTCCTGTTTAACCCCTGGCTTGCCTGACCATCCTTCTGCCTGATCCTCTGTACCGCGCTGCCCGTGAGTTACTGAACCGCTTGTGACCCCGATCATTCTCTGCCTGCTCCTCCGGTACCTTGCTGCCCGCACATTGCTGACCTGGCCTGCCTGACTACGCCTTACGCTACCCAGACGATCCATCCATCCCACACGGATCTGTCCCTGTTACCAGGTCTGCCAGCCTCTTCACGTCAGGCTCCTTTCCCCGCACACCTCTGACGACGCTCTCTACCATTGTCGGACGTACTCAGGGGTCGCGATCTGGTCTCAGTCTGCTCCAAGTCCATCCCCACCATCAGGGGCCCTTGGGAATAAGCAGATTGGGACTTAGACCCCGCACCCCCTGAGGAACCCCGTGCTGTGGGCCGCTAGAGACGCCGCCAGGCGGTGCTTAACAGTACCAAACGGCCTGCCTGACCATTCCACCTATCCAGCCCTGACTACACCTGTGTTCCCACACATTTCTGGTCATACCCGGATCCCTAACACCAAGCCTGTTGACTGGAGAATAAAACAGTCAGACTGAAGACTGAAAAAGTAATTCCTCTGTACTCTTCTCCTGTCAAAGTGTTCCTGTCAGCACATTTACATGCATAACACATTATTGCCTCCAAATGCTACCCCCCCTCTCCAGCGTTGATTATCCCAAGATGATGTCTCCAGAGTTCCGTGCTTCAAACTTCCTTTGCAATATAAAATTAATACTGCAAAGAAGGTGGCCCATGAAATGCAAATAAAGAGATCTCATCACTGGAGTTCCCAGGAGATAAAAGTAGTCTGTGGGTAATTTAACCACTTGCCTTCCGCCCTATAGCAGAAGTAATGCTACAGGGCAGCATGGCTGTGCAAAATCACGTGTATATATACATGATTTTTGGGTAGGGGGCGCACGCCTCCCTACCCTGCTACGCTATTGGCTGCTGGGGATGTAAATCACCAGGTCCCTGCTGGCGATTTGATCGTCGGTAGGGCTGAGAAGGGAGAGATCTGTTTGTAAACAACACAGATCTCTCTCCTGTCAACATGGACATGATGCTTTGTATCTCTCTGCACAGATATTAACCTCTTCCTGCCTAGTGTCATTAGTACAGTGTCAGTGCTTTTTTTTAGTACTGATCACTGTATTAGTGTCACTCGAGATGTCACTGGCAGTTAGTTCCTACACAGTGTCAGAATGCCCGCCGCAGTCTCGCTATAAGTCGCTGATCACCGCCATTACTAGTATGAAAAAAATGTAAATTTCAGTGTATATATACCGACATTTGTAGATGCTATAACTTTCACATAAAACCAATTAATATACACTTATCGGGATTTTTTAACAAAGACATGTAGCAGAATGCATTTTGGCCTAAATTTATGATGAAATTGGATTTTTAAAATTTTTTTAATGGAGAAGTTTTATAGCAAAAAGTAAAAAAAAAAATGTACAAAATCGTAGGTCTTTTTTTGTTCATAGCGCAAAGCATAAAAACCGCACAGGTGATGAAATACCACCAAAAGAAAGCTCTATTTGTGGGGAAAAAATGACATAATTTTCATTTATGTACAGCGTTGCATGACCACGCAATTGTCAGTTAAATTAACACAGCGCCGAATTGCAAAAAATTGCCTGGTCAGGAAGGGGGGTAAATTTAATGGAGGGAAAGTGGTTAACAAGCATGCATTTTCACAAACTGAAATATCAGTGTTGGGTAAGGTGACCTTTAACACTTTTGCTGCTGCTACCCTAACTATTATAGCAGCTGCAGAGCTTGCATGTAAACAAACATTCAGATGCTATACCAGATGGTAGTTTGTTTACCTTATTAGTTGCTATTGTTGGCTTTCTTGTAGTGATTCAGGTGACTATAGAACCACCCAATCACTTCTATGTGTACAGTAAGGTGACGTCCACCTCCCTTCCCCTCCTTACATTCCCTCCTCACTTTGATTCTCAAACACAACTGTCCTGCTTGGGTGCCCAGACTTCTATAGTGGGTGTCAGTATCAGTAAACATCCATTTACTGAACCCCCTAGATAGTATGAAGCCAGGGCTCAGTTCTAAACACTGCAGGGTTCAGAGCTGTCAAACCCTGGCAGCTCTGGCTGGGAAAGAAGCTGATCAAGCACAGTCTATGCTGTATTAGCTTCAGCAGAGTGCGGCATGACATTGGGGGCTTACCAATACTAGATATTGCATCATATATTGTGTTTGTGTGTATTAATTTGAATTGAATTTTTCTGGAAATATAGATTTTATAAACAGTGACACAAATATACTGTGACATAAAAAATTTGCAGCTACAATAATTTTATCCTCTGTGGTCTCTGATTTTAAGAAATTATATAGTATTTTAGGTTTATAAGTGTGCTTTCATGTAAAATAATGTGCATTGTTGAATGTGTATGCAAAAATTGTAGAAATAGGGTTAAAGGAAACAGGGCTACTGCCCAATCTCAGTGTATATAAATAAAAATATGGATGTATTGTATGATACATTTTACATAGTTGGGTTACTGCTACATTTGACCACAAACAAATATTTCATAAAAGGTCATTAATCTCTGCAAAGAAAAATTAAGACATGACTAACCATATACACGTTGCCACCAAAGATATAATCCAGTAAAGGCTATGAAGTAAAATGCTATTCCCAATACCGTTTTCCACTCATTCGGATTTCCCTTGTTCATCTCTGCATAGGATTGCTTAAAGCTAATACGGTACACTAGAAGATAGAGGATAAACATAACAATTAAAATTTATTGTTTCTAAAGTAGACATACACTACATTGCCAAAAGCATTGTTACACCTGCCTTTACACGCACATGAATTTTAATGGCATCCCAGTCTTAGTCCGTAGGGTTCAATATTGAGTTGGCCCACCCTTCGCAGTTATAACAGCTTCAACTCTTCTGGGAAGGCTGTCCACAAGGTTTAGGAGTGTGTCTATGGGAATGTTTTTGACCTTTCTTCCAGAAGCGCATTTGTGAGGTCAGGCACTGATGTTGGATTAGAAGGCCTGGCTCACAGTCTCCACTCTAATTCATCTTTTTTTAATTCATATCAGGTTGAGGTCAGGACTCTGTGCAGACCAGTCAAGTTCCTCCACCCCAAACTTGTTCATTCATGTCTTTATGGACCTTACTTTGTGCAATGGTGCGCAGTCATGTTGGAAAAAGGAGAGGCCATCCCCAAACTGTTTCCACAAAGTTGGGAGCATGAAATTGTCCAAAATGTCTTGGTATGCTTACGCCTTAAGAGTTCCCTTCACTGGAAATAAGGGGTCAAGCCCAACCCCTTAAAACAACTCCACACCATAATCCCATAGTACCGTTCTGCTGGCAACGGCCAAACCCAGACATGCCCTTCGGACTGCCAGACAGAGAAGCGTGATTCATCACTCCAGAGATCATGTCTCCACTGCTCTACAGTCTAGTGGCGGCGTGCTTTACACCACTGCATCTGACGCTTTGCATTGCACTTGGTGATTAAAGGCTTGGATGCAGCTGCTCGGTCATGGAAACCCATTCCATGAAGCTCTCTAAACACTGTTGTTGTGCTAATCTGAAGGCCACATGTAGTTTGGAAGTCTTTACCTATTGACTCTGCAGACAGTTGGTGACTGACCCCGCTCTGTTATTTTACGTGGCCTACCACTTTGTGGCTGAGTTGCTTTTGTTCTCAGTTGCTTCCATTTTGTTATATCACTAACAGTTGACCGTGGAATATTTAGTAGTAAGGAAATTTAATGGATGGACTTATTGCACATGTGCCAACCTATCATGGTACCACGCTTGAATTCACTGAACTCCTGAGATTGACCCTGTCACAGCTGCTTCCCCATCAGGATGACCTTCCCCCCTACTGTCTTTCGTCCTGCTGCAGCTCTTTGAAGCCGAGCCGCGCAGGACGAGAGGACCGGCCCCTCGCACCTCTGCCACTATCTGGTGTGGACCTCCTGCAGAGATGAGAGGGATCACGGCGACAGGCTGGTGCTGCACGATCCTTGTCATATGCAGCGCGTATGTCCCTGGACAAAGGCCGCGCTCACGAGAAGTGCGGCCCGTGTCCAGGGGACGTGCCTCGTTGCCAGGCGACGAGGCACTCCAGCTCAAGCTGATGCCGGGCGCCCCAGTCATCTTCTCTGCTGTGTAGTCACAGAGGGAGCCCAGCTGCGGCGGGACCCTCATGACCAGACTCTGCCTGAGACCCCCAAGCCTAGGTGGGAGATCGCCTGCCACCTACCTGAGACCCCAGCTAAGGGGAGACTGCCTGCCAGCCACCTGAGACCCCCAAGCCAAGGGGGATTGCCTGCCGGTTGCCTGAGACCCCCAGTCCAGGGGTGGATTGCCTGTCTGTTGCCCAAGACCCCAGTCCAGGGGTAGATTGCCTGCCGGTTGCCCAAGACCCCAGTCCAGGGTGGATTGCCTGCCTGTTGCCCAAGACCCCAGTCCAGGGGTAGATTGCCTGCCTGTTGCCCAAGACCCCAGTCCAGGGGCGGATTGCCTGCGTGTTGCCCAAGACCCGAGTGCAGGGGAGAGATTGCCTGCCTGTCACCAAAGACCCCATCCTAGGGGGGAGATTGTTCGCCTACTGCCTAAGACCCCAATCCAAAGGGGGGAGACTGCATAAGCCAGCCTGCCTGAGACCCCTCGCCTGTCCCGGACCTCCAAAAGGTATCTGTGTGTTACTTTCTTATCCCTGGGGGACCAGACACCCTGTCGGATCCGTGGGCATATGCTTTCCCCTGTTTTACCTGAACTGCTTCTGTGTGATGATCCCCTGTTTTACCTGAACTGTCCCTGTGATGATCCCCTACCCCCCTTGTTGGATTACAATCTGCTACAGAGACTTTTTCTTTGCCCTCGATACTGGACTACAAGTGTTTTAGTCCCTCCTTGCTGTCCCCCTACTGGCAAAATCACCCTCCCTGCCATTTCCCCATTGAGTGACTGTCATTCTGTTGTCCCAATAAAGCTTTGTGTGTTTGCCATCTGCTCTGTGTGTTCTGTCCTGCCTAACCTCCGTCACAGACCCATTCTTTCACAAATGTTTGTAGAAGCAGTCTGCTTGCCTAGATGCTTGATTTTATACACCTGAGTCATGAAGGTGATTGGAGCACCTGAATCCAATGATTTGGAGGGGTGTCCCAATACTTTTGGCAATATACAGTATGACTTGTATAGCCTATTTACATGGCCACAGAAAGTAGCTATCATCTTGGCAGATATTTTTTCATGAGCATGTACAAGGGTGTAAACAGCCTCTTCAGTGAACATAAAACATATAAAATGCTAACCTAATGCCAAATAATATAAATATATTAAAGTTAATCCAACTATTGTCATCAGTTTAGCTAGAGCAATGCATAAATAGAGAAGATAACCATTTGCTAAAACTACATATAGGCACAGTTCAAAAACCTATACCAATCATTATTTGCAATAATGTAAGGAAAACAAATAACTTCTAGATCAGTGGTTCTTAACCTTGTTGGAGGTACTGAACCCCACCAGTTTCATATGCGCATTCACCGAACCCTTCTTAATTGGAAAAATAAAAAATATGATTTTTCAAATTCAAAACATAGGTATATATTTAGGTATATATTTATACATAGGTGCACAAAATGAACAAAACCATTAAGAACAAAGAACAAAACCATTAAAACATGATTTTCACACAAAAACAAAAACATAATAATGAATATTTACTGCATGAATCATATGAGTCGGGTGTGGGTCTTCACCTCCGCCGAACCGCGAGACTGACTCACCGAACCCCTGGGGTTCGATCGAACCCAGGTTAAGAACCACTGTTCTAGATTATTAGCTAATTTACCTTGTTGTGCTGTTATAAGAAGTAAACCCAACAATTAGAAACCAGTGCTGCCAATGCATGTGTCAAAAGTTCTTGTCATTTTGATGTCTACCAGACAGCATGATAGCTGTTCCTCCATTGGCAGAAAAAAGGCAAAATTATTGATTGATTTGAAAAAGTGATTTAAGCTTAGAATATAAAAATCTATTGTATGTATTGTTTACGAAAACATTAAGAACAAATCACATACATGCAAGTTTCTCATCTTTGGTCAGTTGAGTCCAGGATCCTCCTTCCTTTTCTTTGAGAGCCTTCTGCTGTTCTGTCAACTCAGATACAAATTTCGCATCAGGCAGTGGGTATGCACGGCTATCAGTGTAACGGGGCTTTGTGTGGTAAGGTACTTGGTCACTTGAAACATCTGCATAAAACATGAAACCAAATCTATGTAAACCACACACTGAAAAGGAACACATGAAGATACACTGCAAAATGTATGGACAATCTAATATATTGTTCAATCCATTCCCACTGTGATATGAGGACAGTGATACACAATGTCAATATAATATATAATCCAGATAATGCAGTACAAATTTCATAGGTAATCACACTCCATTCTGATTAAAATCTGGAACTAAAAGATGGAAAGTTAGAAGGAAGCATTACAAGTTCCTACCATTTCTGGTCAAATCCCAATACTTTAATGCTATCTGTAATGACCTGGCCAGGCTGTACAGGAGCCTGTGTTTTTCTACACAGGAAAGCACAGAAGAGCATTCTTAAAGGAAAACTCCAGGATAGGCAACAAAAAATCACCCATTAGTACACCCCCCTACACTAAACAGTTAATAACATTTTGAAAACCTTTACTATTTAGAAGAAAAATCGAATTGAATTTTCATGACCTCATCTCTGTAATTCAAAAGATAACAGCTTCTGCTCTGCCAAGGTGTAACAGCAGGAATTACAGAAATTAAAGGAAACTACAGTTTCCATCAAAAACAGGGAATTGTAGTGAATGTGGGCAGGTACACTAGGACTGTACATGTTGAATATGTCTGAGAGTCTCGGTCTGCCCACCACTGCAAGTGGGGCTGAATTACATCACTGCTTTCTGGAGAAAGAACTACAGAAGCGATGTGCCAAGACCAGTGGCTAGGGGAATAGGAGGCATATCAGCCACTGGTCTTACAAACAGTAAACCAAAGAGAATTAACAGTTTGATCTGAAAATGAATAGGCTATTTCAGAGCAACTACTGAGTGAACCAGAAGAAGGATTACATATTCAGTGAAGGAAGGAAATCAGCAACAATGACATATAAGAAGTGTTTGCCTGGATGTTTGCTATAAAGCAGAAATTAGAAGTGTGTCTCACTTCCAACACATATTTAACCACTTGCCGACCGCGCATAGCCGAATGACGGCTTCACCGCGGGCCGGCCAGTTCTGAGTGGACGTCATATGACGTCCTCCCAGAACGCGCTCTCCTGCGCGCCCCAGGGGGCGCGCACCCGGCGATCTCCGTGATCGCTGTGTCCTACGGACACAGCTGATCACGAGATGTGGTGAAAGGCCGATCCCACCGGCCTTTTACCACGTGATCAGCGGTGTCCAATGACACGCTGATCACAGGAAAATGCAAGTGCCGGTTCTCGGCTGCACTTTCCTCACGCTGTCAGATCGTGAGGAAAGTACTGCCGAGAACCGGCAGTTGTCAGAGCGGGGATCGGCACCGATCATCAGGGCACTGATGATCAGTGCCCTGATGATCGGTGCCCAGCAGTGACCCCCGCAAGTTCCGATCAGCTGTGCGCCCACTAGCCCCGGCCCACCCATTCCCAGCGGTGCCCCCACCTGTGCCCAGCAGTGCCCCCACCTGTGCCCAGCAGTGCCCCCACCTGTGCCACTCTGCAGTGCCACCTACCTGTGCCCAGCAGTGCCACCTACATGTGCCCAGCAGTGCCACCCACCTGTGCCCACCCACCTGTGCCCACCAGCGCCACCCACCTGTGCCCACCAGTGCCACCCACCTGTGCCCACCCACCAGTGCTGTCCACCAGTGCCACCCACCAGTGCCACCCACCAGTGCTGCCAGTCAGTGCCACCAGTCAGTGCCCAGGGGTTTGTGCCAGTCAGTGCCGCCAGTCAGTGCCCAGAAGTGATGCCAGTCAGTGCCGTCTATCAGTTACCCATCATCAGTGTCACCTATCAGTGCCGCCTATCAGTGCTGCATATCAGTGCCGCCTATCCGTGACCCCTAATTAGTGCTGTCTATCAGTGCCGCCTATCCGTGCCACCTCATTAGTACTGCCTATCAGTGCCCTTTAGTGCTGCCTATCAGTGCCCATCAGTGCCGCCTATCAGTGCCCATCAGTGCCGCCTCATCAACGCAAATCAGTGAAGGAGAAAAAATACCTGTTTGAAAAATTTTATAAAAGAAACAAATAAACTTTTTTTTTTTTTTCAAATTTTTTGCACTTTTTTTAATTTATAGCGCAAAAAGTAAAGCGCCCAGTGGCGATTAAATACCACCAAAAGAAAGCTCTATTTGTGAGAAAAAAAATGATCAAAATTTCATATGGGTACAATGTTGCATGACCGCGCAATTGTCAATCAAAGTGCGGCAGCGCTGAAAGCTGAAAATTGGCCTGGTAAGGAAGGGGGTATAAGTGCATGGTAGGCAAGTGGTTAAAGAAAAAAAAATGCATACCTCATTTCATGCAAATCATTAATTTTTCTGCCCTGGTCAAACTAGACCACTGGTTTACAGCACAGATATAGCTAATAATAGAGAACCATTTATTCCAAACCACACACCACTGTTTCAAGTTTGTTAGCCATCATCACTGCAGTGTATGATAACCATGGCTCATAAGAACAGGGCTTGGGGAGAATCAAGAAAGAATAATCAGACAGGTTACAGGGAGGTGGACTTAAAGGATAATTTCACCTTTTGAACAAAAATAATAAATGCACATTTTTTTTGCAGGTAAAAAAAATGTGCATTTATTATTTTTGTCCACAGGAGCCTAGAGAGCATTGCACCAGGGATCAGTAGATCACTGATGCCATGCAGGTCTCCTTCAGATCTGTCAGAATATCTGCTTGCCGTACGGGATGTATGAGCAAGGAGATATTCTGACAGGAAGCTTTAATTAATTACCACAGCGCTCCACCGCGCTGTGGTAGTTCATTGAAAACTAAAAGCCCACAGCCACTAAGGCTGTCGGGACTTGCAGTTCATTCATTCAAGGAAGTCCGTGAATGAATGACGCGGCCGTGTGGGCGGAGCCCTGCATGGCCGCACTGCTTTCAAATCTGACAGATAGTACAGGGAAATTTCTCCAAGTATTATCTGTCAGAGGGAGAAGCTATGAGAATATGTTACATGTTCCGTCATAAAAAACGGGTGGAACATGTAGCATGTTCCCAAAGGTCAACTTATCCTTTAAAGTGTATGTCCTTCCACGACCTGTCAGGGTTTTAAAAGAATTTTTGAATTCTTTAAAAAAAAAAGTTTTGGGAGGAAAAAAAAGCCATCTATTAAACCTGTACAAACCACAACATAACCATATTTAAGGGGGTTGCACTGTGGTACACAGTGGTTTAATTCAAAATAGTTTCTTGACATAATATATCTTTGTCTATCTTATCTATTTGTCTTAATCTACAGATCATTTGTTTGCAGTAAAGATGGCACCATAAAATAACCTGCTGCTAGTCCACTTACTGTTTGCCTATTAACCATGGGATCCAGTGTTTGTTGACACATTGCCATATATTCTGTGTATATATCTTTATCTAGATTTTTCAAAAATGTTGTCTTTCTTCATTTTAATTCTAACTTATGATCACACTTCCTTACATTCCTTTCCATATGGGATATACATTATCTGACATGTATGACTGCTTCATTATGACATGCTGACACTAATGTTTTAGGGCCTTTTTTAAGGTGCAGATGGACTGGTGTTCAAATGCAATAAAATAAGCAACATCCTTTGTTGAAAATGTTTTATTAGTACACATGGCCTTTGCATCATTGTAAGTGGCAAAGATAGGTTTTAAGGCAAACCCTAGTTTTATTGTACCTAGTACAGGTAATAAACATTACAACTGTAAAAATCCATGAGCAGTTTTACAAAGGTGTTCTTTTAAAGTGGTTGTAAAGGCTCAAGGTATTTTACCTTCATGCATTCTATGCATGAAGGTAAAAAACCTTCTGTGTGCAGCACCCCCCCAATACTTACGTGAGCCCCATCCTGATCCATGTGCATGAGAGTCTTGCCTGCCCAAGGTCTCTCCCTCTTCATTGGCTGAGACAAAGCTGGTAAGCTGGTAAGCCAATGAGGAGAGAGTGTCTGTGGGGGGGACCTGCCACGTCTGTGTGTGAATGGCCTGGGAGTGAGCCTGCTTGGGTGCCTCCATAGCAAGCTGCTTGATGTGGGGGCACTTGCACCGGGAGCCAGGAGAGCTAGTGGGGTACCCAAAAAGTAGAGGATCTGGACTGCTCTGTGCAAAACCACACTCAAAATTGAGCTCTGGTGCATCCTGTTCCCACTGATCATCCTTCAGATGTTTCCACAACTTGATTGGAGTCTACCTGTGGGAAATTCAGTTGATTGGACATAATTAGGAAATGCATAAACCTGTTTATATAAGGTCCAACAATTAACAGTGCATGTTAGAGCACAAACCAAGCTATGAAGTCCAAGGAATTGTCCATAGACCTCCAAGACATCCATAAATGGAAGAAGTCTGGAACCACCAGGAATCTTCCTAGAGCGGGCCGCCCGGCCAAAATGAGTGATCGAGGGAGAAGGGCCTTAGCCAGGGAGGTAACCAAGCACCTGATGGTCACTCTGAAAGAGCTCCAGCATTTCTCTGTGGAGAGAGGAGAACCTTCCAGAAGAACAACCATCCCTGCAGCACTCCACCAATCAGGCCTGTATGGTAGAGTGGCCAGACGGAAGCCACTCCTCAGTAAAAGGCAAATGGCAGCCTACTTGGAGTTTGCCAAAAGGCACCTGAGGGACTCTCAGACCATGAGAAAAAAAACTCTTTGGTCTGATGAAACAAAGATTTAACTCTTTGACCTGAATGCCAAGCGTCATGTCTGGAGGAAACCAGGTACCGCACACCACCTGGCCAATACCATCCCTACAGTGAAGCATGGTGGTGGCAGCATCATGCTGTGGGGATGTTTTTCAGCGGTAGGAACTGGGAGGTCAGGATCGAAGGAGAGATGAATGCAGCAATGTACAGAGACATCCTTGATGAAAACTGGTTCCAGAGCACTCTGGACCTTATTCTGGTGCGATGGTTCATCTTTCAACAGGACAGCGACCCTAAGCACACAGCCCACATAACAAAGGAGTGGCTATGAGCCAACTCTGTGAATGTACCGGAGTGGCCCATCCACAGCCCAGATTTGAACCCAATTAAACATCTCTGGAGAGATCTGAAAATGGCTGTGCACTAACGCTCCCCATCCAACCTGATCAAGTTGAGAGGTACTGCAAAGAAGAATGGGGGAAATTGCCCAAAAATGGGTGTACCAAGCTTGTAGCATGATACTGAAAATGATTTAAGGCTGTAATTGGTGCTAAAGGTGCTTCAACAAAGTTTTGAGCAAAGGCTGTGAATACTTTTGCACATGTGTTTTTTTTTCGTTTGTTATTTTTAGTAAATTGCAGAGATTTTGAAACGAACTTCTTTCACATTGTCATTATGGGGTATTGTTAATAGAATGTTGAGGAAAAAATTAATTTAATCCATTTTGGAATAAGGCTGTAACATAAGAAAATGTGGCAAAAGTTAAGCGCTGTGAATACTTTCTGGATTCACTGTAACCCATCAGTTTTTTGTCAACCATGTTCCATAGCTACAGGGGAAGTCCATGGTAGCCACCAGGATCAGCAGAAGGTATGTCCCCAATTCTAAGGATTTTAAAGACCTCCTGTCTCCATCACTCCATCCCTCCTTCATCTCTTGTCTCCATCTCTCCATTACCTCCTGTTGCCATTTCTTCATCCCTCCATCACTTCCCTGGTCTATTTCTCCATCTCTCTTTTAATCCATCCCACCATCCTTCTGTCCTACAATGCTCCATCATTCCCTCTCATCAGTGCTTCATCCATTCCATCCAAAACGTCAACCCTCCATCACCTTTTCTCTTTATCACCCCATCCCTTTATTACTTTCTCCCTCCATCTTTCCATCCCTTCATTAAACTGTTCATCAAACCATTCCTCTGTAATAGGTCTCTCTCACCCTCCTTAACTTTCATCCCTCTGTTACTCTATGTTACTCTATGCCTCCCTCCATCTCTCCTTTCTTCTTTCCATAACTCAATCACACCAATCTTTTATCTCTTGCTCCATCCCTCCCTCCCTTACTTTATTTGTCTGCCCCTTGCTCCATCCCTCCATCACACTGTCCATCCAACAATCCCTGTGCCTTATAAGCGCCACCCTTTCTATTCTCTATCACTTTCATCCCTCTATTTTTCGTTCTCTTCCTTCATCTATCTGTCTCTCTGTCACCATCTGTAAACATCATTTAATAATTTAAGTCCAAATAAATAGTGCAGTATCTTCTTAGAGGCTCAAAAACTTGAAACAATGAGTCATACGTGTCAGTCACACTCACAAACGAGGCACTGGCACCACTCTGGCTGCTCAGCTCCTGGCTGGCGGTGTGGCAGGAAATGTCCGAGACATTATTATGCTTGCCTCGCGAGTTGTGCACAGCCTCCGCCAGACCCATCCCCTGCCAGCTGAACACTCACACTCGGATTGTTTTGGGACTCAGGCGGCTCTGGATTCCAGAATTGTGCTTGCACAATACCAAGCTGAGCCATCACATCTTTTTTTCTCTGGCACTTTTCTCCTGTTACAGGCATTTATGGGCAGAAGAAAAGTGCCTGTTTTTTACTGGCTGTCCTTAAAAACATGGACGGTTGGCAACACTGCACCCATTAAACATTCACACTACTGGAGGAAAACGTAAGTGAACCCTTGGAGTTAATAACTGATCGA